CATTCAATGTAAATGTGGCATTGATGGTGTGAGGTGGGGATGTGAGCGCACTGGTTTGAAGGCAGAGAGCCACTACCTTCCAAACATTTTCAGTGCTTTCCTCCGTACTTACGCCACATGCAATGATATGTCCTGCATTCAATACTGCTTCCCCTTCTGTCAAGTTTCGTGACCCTTGACCACCTTCCACATATGTAAGAATGTCCACCAGACTCAAGCCAGGCATTATAGCTGATGAACAAGCGAACGATCACAACAACGGGAGTAGGAGTCGTTGACCGCGCGTCACTGCATTCAAATTATCCGCCTTACAACGGCCATACCACGGAAACACGAGAGACATCTATAGGTGATTTCGATCGCGAATTAAATAAAAGCAATACCCCAGTACTTATCCTTGAGAAGAAATCGCGATAGATCCTCGACATCATAAAGTGAATCGATATCACTGCAAATGAAGGCTTCCATAAAAAAAAGCTCCAATAGTTTCTATTCTGAAGTACAAAAAGGTGAAACTAAAAATAGAGATAATACATTCCAGATGAGGATTCCAGATTTTCAAGTTCACTATAGCTTTGCATTGGATATGACATTTGGGCATTTTGGCAAATCTCCAGTAGGTTAAGCCACGATTCTTTTTCACTTCTGAACAAAATTAATTCATATACCCCATTCCGTGGATTTTCTTGGCGCAAACGCCGCCCTGAAACTGTCCATATTCATGCTCACAGTAACCGCGAGATGTCAGTAGTTGGTGTTTCCCCCGTCCCATATGGCGTCTCTTGGTTCTGGAGATTCGCCTTCACACACTCCTCTCGGAGCTACGTATTCAATCAGAACGCTGTATTCGTCTTCCGTCTCTCTTTACCTGCACTCCTGTGTCTCATTCCTTGTATAAACAAGGCCCGACATATCCATCGGCCTGTCTCGATTGTTTACCGAGCGTAGTTTTACGGTTGGCCTATGCGTTCAGGATTTCGCCAGCCGTGGATCTGCTAAGGAATTTCGATTGGCGTGACTATTGCCATACTTGAGTTTCATGGGAGCTCTCGAGCCGTGGAGTCGGAGCGGGATTACCTCTTGACATAGAGTGGTGTTCCTGGCCGTGTCTCCCCGCATGCCGAGTAGATCAATTCCAGACGTGTGCGACAGCCTCGACTGATCTTCCCCCTTAACTGCACTCACCATCTCATTAAGAAAGAGGTGAGATTTGACCCATATTTTCAAAAATACGGTGTTTTTTTCTATGTGCTGCCGTACTTTGTGAATCGTTCGAACCATGGTATGCAGCAGTGTCCTGGAATCTGGCGTCTTTTCTGTGACCCTTCGATTTTTATTTTCAGTGGAGGGAACATTTATTTAAGTTACTCTTAGAAGTAAAATAGGAAAACAATCCCCATGAAAAATTATGAGAACTACCCGCTATCATTGTTCTACATTAAAAATAAAAAACAAAAAATGAGATTCTGATGATCCAATTGAAAAAATTTCCAACTCATGGCACATTGACATCACTGGGATACGGAAGTCAAACAGTTGGAAAGAATTTCTTTGAGAGTTTTTATTTTACATTTAAATTTGAAAGAAATGATATTGCTTGTGTACATGATGATCTAAGTTTCCAAATTGGAGGAGTGATTTTTTTCCTTTCAACAGAGCTTGATGCATGCAGTTCTTAGCTCTCTACTCGAAGGTCCTGAGCTACTTCTCACCCAGACTGATGAAAGTGCCACAGGTAACATTCACTGTTAGGAGTTCCTATCTGAGAGTCTCCCGTTGGGCATGAGGTGAGTGAGGCAATGAGGTAAGGTGTGTATTCATTGCAGAAAGTGGAAGAAATATCACATTTAGTTCCCCAAATTGTTGAGTAGGAAGACTAGGTGGCAGTGAGACTCTTGATTTTTCATTCTTAGAACTTCTTGAGTGTTAGACTACAGGCCCCCTTGCATTTGTGAAAAGTTTGATTGCAATCATAAAGCCAGGAAGGAAAAATGAACCAAAGTCAAGTTAGCCTCTGCTTTTTGTTCTTCCTATTTGAGAAATTTTTGCCTTTCAGTATGATTGACCCAGATGCTAATTTTGGATGCCTAATCCAGAATCAATTGTTATCATTGATTGTATATGCAATAAAGAATTTAAAAAAAATTTGTTTGCCTGTTGACTAGTCTACCCTACAAAATGAATTCATGTGTCTCATCCAACCAGTAGGGTGGGAACAATCTGAAGGAAGTTAGAATGCCAGCTTCTTCAGTGACCTGCCTGCACTTGAGCATCTCTGAAAGTGGAACATTGCTTCATCCTAACAAAACCTTATATCCACCATAATAATCTACTTCAGGGGCACCAAGGCCATAATACTTCAAGCTGGAAACGGCACTTGGAAACTGGTATGTGTCTTCCTAGTTATTCAGTTTTACCTGACATGACTTCATCAGGGACATTGTTGAATCTTGAAACTCTTGGTTGGGGAAACATCAAGGTCTCCAGCTAGTGCCCAGTTTAAAATTCCACCTGAAAGCAGCTATATTTTCCAACTGGTCATTAGCTGGAAATTAGACAGGCTTCATTAGGAAAAGTGATCCAATCAAGCTGGCAACCAGCTGAGTAGTAGATGGTTTTGACATGCTGGAACTCAGCTTGGAAACAATTTCCAGCTTGAGGGCAGTTAGGTTTGCTCAATTAACTGAAACTCAGCCAGGAACCAGACATTTTGTAACTTGTTGGAGAGTAGATCTGCTTGACCATCTAGAATGCAGTGCAATAGCATCAATCTTTTTCAAGTGATCTCCTTCCATCAGTTTGTAATTATCTTAACCTACAGGGTGTCCCATAAGTCACTATACCATTTCAAACTGCAATATTTTCCAAATTTCAACAGCCAGGTCAATTTTCTTAGCATCGATGGAAAGAACATTCTTTAGAATATTTTTCACAATAATGACTTGGAATCGGACTCAAACCGAAGTTCGTTCAAAAGCATGTCAGAAAGGTATAAAGTTTTAGGGCTATTTATGCTAAATATCATTGAATCCTCTTTTACAAAAAATTCCCAAACTTCATGTTTTTCACCCTAATTCCAGACAGACTGAGAAACAAAAAATAATTCATTTAATTTTCTTTAGTTGTCACGAGAAAAGGCATCAGAATTGACACTCGAGCAACAAAGGAACGTTGCCACCTGGAACGAAGGTTTTTGAGAGTCCCATCCGAGTCCAAGGGGAATTTCAGCAATATTTTTGTGGCAAGCATCATGCCAAATTATATTGATATGGGCAGAGGTCATTCTTGAGGCACTTTCAAACTTCAGAAGTACCTCTATTTTTGACAGATAATTCCAAATGATATGCTATCGTTAAATTAACCTTATTTCTTTTTTGTGCCAACTGTTAAGTAGATTTGAATTTTTGAAATGGTATAGTGACTTATGGGACACCCTGTATATAATTTCTGAAAAATGAAAGGACTTGTAATTAGGTGAACCTTCCTTTGGCATGTCAAGGTTATTGCTATTGCTGGTGCTATCCAACCACTGCTCAAAAGGAGGAACACAGAGATCTAACAGTTTCAAAAATATGTCTGATACCCTGGGAGATGGCTCATGAATGATTATCTGCATTTCAATTCCCATAGAACTGGCACTTGCAAGTTATTTCAAACAATTTATATACTTAACTTTATCTAGAGAAGGATCTTGGCGATAGAAACTGAAGGGGATTTGCTTCTAATCTGTGTCAAAAACTACCAAAGCATCAGTTCCTATTGAAACAAAACCCTAATAATGCACATGCTAGCATTCCCTCCAACAGCTGATATGCATTGGTTTGAGCATGTCCATGAGCTGGACATGTTTAGCCATCAATCAGGACCACTTACCTCCCCATCCCTGGAGCAACTTCATTCCATACCATTTTCTCACTGCACCCCAAAATGCTCACTTTTTCAAAATTGACAAGGGTTACAAAGTTTTCAATGCTTTCAACATACCCCAAAATAGAAATTCTCTTTAGCTGCTGCAAGTACGAGAACCCCTCAGTGTCAACAAAACAAGGGAATGCTGCCCAAAACAAGGGAATACCTGTGGTATTGGATGCTGATTCAGAGCTGCCATCAAGAGCACCAGTTCTAGAGATTCCAAGTCCTTCTCCAATTGCTGCTTTCTCTGTGCAAAATCTGCAGATACTGGTGATGGTGGGGCATTCTTATTAACCCCTAATAATAGGATGACGTCTCTGGGAAAAACCAGATGTATGGTAACCCCAAGATCAAACAATCATGCCAAACGCATTACCACCCCTTGTTTGCGAGCATACATTGGCCTGTTCAATTCCAATACAAAGCCATCCACAGTCTAACAGGTCAAAACTAGTAAAAACCAAAATCTCCAATCACCTACTGCTCTATTTATAATGGAAGCCTCCATTTCATTTTCTCTATATGTATTTCTTTTGCCCCAGGGTGTAAAGGTTTTCCGAGATCTTCTTTCTGGGGCTTCTTTCAAACTGCTTGTCTTGGAAGTTCCCAGTGACAAAACTCAACCAAAGACTCAGTGCTTGCTAGAAGACACCCTCACCTCTACACACTACAAGGCATATAAAACCATCGTTCCCTTAAATGCTTCTCCACCCTTCTCCACAAAAAGTCATGCAGGGTGCACCAGGGGAAATTCTTTTCACACCTAGATAGCCTCAGCACTTTCAGTGAAACATTGCAGATCTCACTACACCTTTCTGCTTTCACCTTCTACAAGAACAGGTGTGTCTCAGTAGTTAATGCTTACAATCTGGCACACCTACTGATACTAGTCCCAAGTCCCCCCAAAATACTGCTACCTTCCTGAGTCTCATTGTCATTGCCCCAAGGCCAATGGCCAAAACTGCAAAATATATTTTAGGATAACATCAGAACTCAGAATGAGAACAAGTGTCTTTTTTTATTTATTTATTAGGTCGCTACCTCTTCAACTAGCACATTTACCAAATTCCTGTTCTCCACCTTCCCCCCCTCCCCCCCCCCACACAAACCCTACTTCACCTGTAGTCACATCACCACTGATGCCAATATCTACTGCCCCACAGTATCCTTCCCGTGCTAAACATGCACCTGCTTCGGGAAGCTCACAAAGTCTGTAGAGCATGTTCTCATTTGGTGCCATCCCACAAGACAGCACCACTTTCAATAAGCAACACTCTTCAGTATCCCGACATATGTTACTTCTTCCCCCCTTGGATATTCTGTTACGACTCAGTGTTTTGAAGAGTTTCCAACAACAGAATCCTCTCATCTAAAAAAAACATCTCATGTGGATTCTGGGGCCCAAGCCTTAGGGTAATGCATCACACTTATGTGCTAACACCCCCCCTTTGATGTGTAGGAAAACGTTTTAAAATCAACATGCATTAAAATAGAAGGTTTTTTATTCAGAACCTGTGAATTTTACTCATTCATGGCCATAGTTAATATCACACCTCTGGGAATTGTTTGGAAACCTTTCATCTTCATTGAAGACTGCTAACCTTAGCATTACCTAATTGGAATAGGTGCTAAGAGTTATATAAAAGTCCTTGCAAAAGAGACCATCCAAAGTGAAATTTGAGTCTCACTCTAAATAGAGGAAGAATCTCCATTGAGATTGTATCAATACAAAAATGAAACAAAAGTATGTGAATCTCTTTTTTATTGTTTAAAATTCTTCTTCCACTCCTGCAGGATATTTGAGAGGGAATTAAGTTGATGCATGAACTCATCCTTTCCATTATGTAGAAGTCTTATGTGAGACCATAGATGCACATTCTGCAGCAACAAGGAAATGATGAGAAAATCCCATGGTCACAAGTGCTGAATTTGTTTCATAAGTGTCTTCTTGAGACTCATTCAATGTACTTTACCACTACAGTTCTCTCAATTATTCTTTCACAGAAGGGATTGATATAGGGAATGCACATAGGAATAAACTTAACAGCACTCACAATTTCATTCCCGTCAATCGCATACACCTTTAACCCATTGGCATTGATTTAAGAGACCACCTCATGGTATCATTACCAGGCCATTCCATAGAAATACAAGACTGTCTCATATCTATATTTTATGCATGAACATTTTGCACTTAGTGCCAATGTTGGCCAACAGATATTTGTTGAAAGTCTATTTTCAATAGTTTTATCCTTTACAGGAAAAAATGATCCATTGTGCTATAATGGGAGTTCAAGAAGATGGCTCTGCACAAACATGGTACATAAATGGTATAAAGATTCCAATGCCGATAAATTAATGCAATGCAAGCACAGGTAATCACCTCACTTGAGGTGGAATGATCCACCTCTAAGTGCCTTTATTTCACCTCAAAATGGACATTGCACAACTTAGGCAGTGGTGCTGAAAAAAAGCTTTCAAGCATTTCAACTCCTTGCAACTATCAAATATCAATCGCATATCCAATGTAATTTTTTTTGCTGCATTAATGGAACTGTTTCTCCCATAGAAAAAAGTAGAGTATTTTTTAAAATCACCCTATATTTACATCTATGAATTTCTTCTTCCTCTCTCAATCTGCATCATTAAAAGGACCAAAAAGATGAGAACTATCATTATACCGCCCATCACTACTACCATCATATTCTTTATCCTGACATCATCACTGTATCCCCAATCATAATCATATTGGTCACATTTCCCATCAGAAGCATTATCATATGGACCATCATTGGGTGGACTGTCATCATAATCAAGCCCCACCTCACTTGGAGGTGCTACACAGAAAATGCACAGGAACTCAGATCTCTCCTCAAAGGGAAATGCCAAAAAATTTAATGGAGTGGAGCCCCCCAATGTTAATCTATCTTAATGATCATTATAAAATGGATCTCAAAGCAGAGAATGAATATGTCCATTTCATTGGCGAAGCTAGGCTTTCCTGACACCATGGATTTTGAGAAATGGAGGGTATTTTGGCCTTTTTTTGTGTATCTGTACTTGTCAAAGGCCTGGTCTAACAGGCCAGATTTAACTTAAATTCATGAAAAACTAAATTTTAATTAATTGCAACTCCTCCTTCATAATATTCATATTAAACTGTGGGGTTGCTCAGAAAACTCATAGAGATCAGGGATTGGACGGATGACAGTGCCAAACAGACCAGGACCGTGAGAGCAAGAGGCCTCCAGGGGAAGGCCTGGCAACTTGAACCAACCTGGTAATGAAACAGTGGTCAAAGCATGCAAGTTGACTAATATTTCCCTTCCATGACTAATGTGGATATGAGAAAGTAATGAGCATGTAAATCAGCTTCCTCATCCATGACTGCCTGAAAAGTGAAAAGCTTTAAGAGGAAAAGCGAATGTAACAGCTTGGGAATGCCAGGTTGTATGGAAGCTGACTTATCACACAAGAACATTATATTGCATAGGAATTAACCAGAAAGAATACCTCTCAGAATCAAAAACCAAAGAATGGAATGGAATTCAAATGATTCACAGTCTTCATTACCTTCAGCTGCCATATGGCCTGGCAGTTGAAACTTCTTTATTACTAGGCAAACCTTGCCGCAAAGATTGCGCAAATTTCAAAGTAACACCTGGTGGCTATTCTTTTCTTAATGACACTGTCAGTTCCTGAAAAATTCACCTATCCCTGCTGCTTTGGTACTCGTGGCATTCGGGCTTCCATTCATAGCAATTTGTTGCATTATCCAAGGATAATGCCTAGGAAAGGAAGTTAGAATGGAAGATAAACAGTTGAAGCAAAACTCTAATAGGCACTCTGTCAATGAAGACTATGCACTATTTGGTGAAGGAAGCATCTCATTCCAGCATGCCCTCACCTCTTGTGATGCTTTGCATGAAATAATTTGTATTTTATCCACTCCAAAGCATGACTAATTGGGTGCAACAACTCTGATTAAGGAATTTAGGGACTTCATTATCATTATTCATACTAGGGGAGAAAGCAGCTGGTTTATGAAGAAGTCCATGGAGTGGAGTATGTATCCAAGCAAGTTTTTTCAGGGGAATTCTACACTTTCTAGCTTGATACTCTCAAATTAGATATGTTTTCTGTCAGAGGTTTCGATTTATCATCAATATATTACTTTTCTCATATTTACTTCTTCATAGTATGACTCTAATTCCATGATGCAAAATTCTACACCTGAAGCTACAGCTGCTAATGGTGGTGGTGCAGAAAGATCATGGCAACAAAATATCCCGCAGCCATATTCCTCATTTCCTCTGGAACCAATCGAACAATCTGAATATATTTTGGGTGAGGTGTTAAGACATTCTTCACTTTGACATTTTTTGGATGAAGCATCTTGGCTGCTTAGCTAGAATAAGCCTGGGAGGGTACTATGAGGGGTGGGTCAACTAAGCTTTTCTATTTATCTAGAGAGTTAGCACATTAACCACAATATATAATGATAAGACACCTTTTCCATATGCCCTCATTAGTTGGTAAAATGAAGAAGGCATTTTTATAATGGCTTGGCTTGGCATATGAGAGCAACTTATGTGTTTAATATGGAAGTTCTAACAATTTTCTATCTTTGGATTTTGCTTTCCTTTATCACTTCTAGGCCTCTCAAAGTTCTGTAAAGAAAAAGTTTTTACAATGAGTAAGTAATAGTATATCCTATCCTACTGTTGAATCCTACTATCCTAATAATGAATTATCTACCTTCAGTGGGCATTATTCAACAACCATGTGATGATATGTTCTCTGTCTAATCTCTGGTCAATGACCTTGCTGGCTTGGGTAGCTTGAATTTGCATGAAGTGACACAGCATTTGTTGCTAAGGTGCTTCATGAGTGGCCTCCTCCAAAAC